TTTTTTTTTTTTTTTTTTTTTTTTTTTTTGCTCTTCTCTACATTCCTTTTTAGCGCTGCATTGCTAGTGATATACGGCTTGTTCTGTGTGTTGATTTTTATGAATATAAAATCTTATTACAGTGCTTTGATTGAACTTTTTTGGGTAATTTTTTAAACTTTTAGAATTGCCAGTAGGTCGTTTCTTATTTGTGATATATTAGAGTATTATCGTTCAGTTCCTCTCCTTATAACCATTATGGTCTTCTTTAATTTCCAAACTTTTAATTGCTGTTGCACGGAGTTCGTACGTATAGACGCAGAGCTACATCAGAAGTTATTGTCGTTAGAGATTTGTTTTTCTTCTGTCATCTTTTTTCTTTCTAGATTTAGTCGTTGGATATTCTGCGACAGTACAGTGGAACTGAGTGAAGATTCTACCCGTGTCTATCTCTGAGGACTTCTCTACTTTTAACCGTGCAGGTACGTACCTTTAATGGCTACAAGAATGATTTGCATTAACGAGGAACTGCAAAGCTAATCCGGCTTTTGATTGTAAGTCGGTTACTGTTGAGTGGCATGATATTTAAAAGTTGTAATGTTCAGCTTATTAAATATTTTACAGAAATTTTGTCGCACAGTTCTGTATTATTCTACTTTAGCCAGTTTATACTCATTAAAAAATTTTGTAGAGTGATTAGCGAGGGTATCAAGGACCGTTCCGAGAATCAAAAAGTTCCAGGTGTAAGAGTGTGTGTAATGTTTTTTAAGATTTAGTATTGTTGTATTGTCTTTTTATTTAACTGTATTAATTTTACTAGAGGAATGGTTTAAGGGTTGAAAATTGATATTTACTCGAGCTTCTGATCGTTTAATAAATTTCTCGTATGAGTCATTGGGCTGAAATTTCAAAAGGAGGAGGGGATATTTGGCAGTTTAAAACTGTAATTGAAGAGTTATCTTTAGGGAGATGGTGTTTAAGTTAAAGTTTTTTTGTTTCTGAGTATGATACGATTGTTAATTGTTTAGTCATTTTAAGCATTTAGATTGTAGCTCTGCAGCATTGAGTTGATGATGATGATTTATGTATTGATAGTGATGCTGTTTCTCTTAGTTCAAGGATTACCACTGAGGTTCAAAAATAGGGTGGATATAGATTTTTTATTTGAGATTTAGAAATGGTTTATTGTAGGATTCTTGGCACTACACGAAATAAAGCTTAGTTAACTCTTGTTAATCAGTAATGAGCAAAGAACCGAGTGCACAGTTTTTGATGCGGTTCTAGATTTCCCAGTTGGTTACCTAATTGTTGAAGAAGTTTAGTCATAATGCCGTTGGACTATTCGAAGTGGAAGGATATTGAGGTTTCAGACGATGAGGATGATACGCATCCCAATATTGATACTCCTTCGCTCTTCAGATGGCGGCACCAGGCAAGGTTGGAGAGGATGGCGGAAAAGCAACAGCAGAAAGACGAAATTGCGAAGGGAAAATCATCAGTTTCGAAACGTATGCAGGTGAGCTGCAGCTTCTAATTTTTAAATTAAGTCTATTTTAAATTGCGTTGCTCAGGTTCTGACCGTAAGAGTAGTTTTTTGCAGGAGATAGAGGAGAAACTGCGCGACACTACGCTTGATGAGAAAGAAAAAATAAAATTAGAACTTGAAAAAGACGAGATAAAAAAACAAGAGGAAGAATATTTGAGGAAGGAAAAAGAACTGGAGGATAAAGAACGTCTCGAGCCGTGGAATGTAGATACAATTGGACATGAGGCATTCAGTGCAACGGTAGTTTTCTCATCTTGTTTAGCTTATGGTCCTGAGTTTTTGCTGACCTTACTTTTTTTTTACTTGAGATTTTTTATTGGTTCGTATATTTTAAATTTTCGTTGAACAGTAGTGTCTAGAAGATGGGAAAAATGCTTTTTATTAAGTGGTCATAAGATACAATAATTAAATTTTAATAGATTGCTTTTTTTGTATTAACAAAACTTGTTGTAGTTTCGATTTATTAATCTGTTTTTGGTTGTTCGCCAATATTCGAGTAGTTTGGTAACAGTGCTAGTACTACATTAAACTTCTTCCATTTTACAAATTTTTATTTTTTTGATTTGTAAATAGGTTCTTTAAACACGTTTTACTTGCAAGTGTTTCATTTTTAACTCGCTTATGTTCAAAGCTACTTTATGATTTTCTTTTTTGGAACTGCTTTTTTTACGACTTTGATAAGTCGTTATTGAGATAAAATATGATATTTTGTTACTGATGACAATAGAGCAGCGTTTGGAATGTAAATTCATAGGTATTTCGAGGGCATAGTTTATGCTGGTTCTAATATTAATTGGTTTTTAATAGCTTTGAAGAGGGTCTTGTTGAGCATTTTTTAAAAATTTGGTTGTTGAAGAGACTGAAGATACTTGAGAAGGGAGCTTAAGGCCTTAAGATTTTTTATTCAAATTAATACGTGAGTAAAAATTTCCCAGCTGCCAACTATGAAAAGAGGTCTAATAATCATTTTTTTAGAGGATAAATAAAATTAGCGATAAGAAACCAGAGCCTCCAAAGCTCTCTGAGGAAGAAGAAGGGGAGAGGATGGTAATTCATGATTATTATCTGTCTTACATTTGGTAATTTTGTCGTTTAAATTTTCATCCTGGCTTTGTTAAAAATAGTTTTTTGCATTTGAGATTTATTTTAGCGTACATTCTTCACAATGAATGGCGACCTGCTCGATCAGTTGGGACGATTAGAAGGATTCGAGGCCACCGAAAAGTTTTTGTTAGAGAATCCGCAGTTAGCTTCTGATTTTTCAGCTAATTATTTGACTATTGAGGCGTTGAACTGTGCAATGGAATTAAAGGTTTCTCATTTCTTCTGTTATGAGAAAGTTATCTATTTGGTGGTTATCTGTGATTTTTTTTATTTTATTATAAGTACCGTAGCGTTGGTAGCACAATGCTTTTTTGTATTCGTTTGTTTAGTAAATTGGGCAATTATATTCTGATTAATACAGTGATGCTTTTATCTGGTATTTTTTTCTTTTTGTATATTTTTTCTTGTTTTGGCTTTTATTTCTTGTAAAAATTGTACCCAGCTAAATTTATTTCGTTACTCTGTAGGTTTTTTTAGTAGGTCATGAGTTATAGACTCAAAACCGTATTGTTTATGCATTTTCGGTTGTCTGTACTTGCCTTTTAGCTAATATTTTTGTTTAGTTCTTGAGTCGGATGTTTTAACTGCCCGTTTTAATTAATTTAAACTGCTCTCAGCATTGCAGGAAAAAGAAATGCGTGTTATGGCCAAACAGTGTATTACAATACAGTATCTGGTGGAACTGGCAAAGAATTTACGTGCTGTTGCTACAAATGTTAATGTAATCAAAAATTTTTTCAAAAAGTAGGTGCCATTTTAAAGTTTTCGTACTAGCTTCATTTATAAATTAAACTTTTACAAGATTACATTTGAACGGAGTACTAGCTCACTAATTTGCTTATTTTTTCCCTGTTTTAAATTTTTCTTTGCAGAGGCTTTTTTGCTGATCGCTCGAAGTTTTGTTTTTATTTAGTAATTTTCTCAGTAATTTAGCAGTAGCAGTATAGCAGGAATCATTATATTCTTTTTTGGCGTTGAGATTAATGTTACTGGTAGCTAAAAAAATAGGAAACAACAAGATGAAAAGAGATATCTGCAACTTGTACGGACTAGGGTTTACGACAGCATAAAGTTTTGGTTGTATATCTCAGCGCATCTTAAGTTTTCCGACTCTCTGGATTTGTTTAAGTTTGAAGCAACTGATTTGCATTTACTGGAAAGCTTTGAGCTGCGAGAATGTATTTTGACTGCACTGGCTCTTTTTTTTCTATCAAAACTTGGTATTTCTGACTAGCACACGGGTTGAAAGAGCTTTGCACCTAGGATTTGTCGTCTAAGCTTGAATTCTGAAGTTTACTGAAGTTTAAGGTGTGGATTTTAACTTTTCTAGGGTTCGCACGGCTGGTATTTCTGATGAAGATTACTGACAATATGTTTTGGATGCTCTTGGTTATTTCTAAACAATTTTTATGTATATTCAACCTTTCAAGCTTAAAGGAGATTTTATTTCCTCAGGTAAAGTTGAAATCGGTTTACCGTGTTTAGTTGTTTTGTAGGTTTCGGGTGGCAGATCCGATGTACATGAAGATGTATGATGACGAAGTAAACAGCTTTTGCGAAAGGCTTCAAGAAAGAGCAAAGGATAAACGAGAGGCTGCAGAAGCCGAATACGAAGCGGAAGAAAAGAAGAAACGAATTGCTGCCTCACCAGGAGGTCTTGATCCTCAGGAGGTTTATGAAAGTCTTCCGGAGGTGAGTTTGAAAGGAATTTTTTGTTTAAATAGTTGTTTCCTCAGAATTTTGTTTTTCAGTGGTCCGGATGCATTTTGAGTGATTAAAAGGCAGCTTGTTTTCCAAAAATTGTTAAGTTAGACAAACTATGCTCGTACGTCACGGATCACTGCAAATTTTCTGGCTTAAATAGAAGTCGTAGCATTTTTTCTTGCCAAGATTTTTGTAGCTTCAATTTTAAGGAAATGAGGGCAGCGTTTGATAGTCAAGAAGTAGCGCGTTTGCAACAGGTCGCGCTTCAAATGGATCGAGAAGTGTTTCAGTTTCACCTGCAACGATGTATCGACAGTGGGTTATGGATCCCTGACGCCAATGCAAAAAAGGATTAGAATAAATTTGAGTTTAACCAGTTTTTTTGGTTGAAGAAATTTTGTGTTGTTGTGAAGTTCCTAACGCTTGTGGATATCCTTGAAAATATGGGCTTTTTAACATTTGGAATCTATCTGTTTGCGGTCTTTCTGCCGAGGATTTTGAAGTTAATTTAGTTTTGAATGGTATCAAATTTCTCGAGCAAAATTTTCTTCTGACTGTACCTAGCCTACGGAGTGTCTGTACACTTTTAATTTATTTCAGAGGGTACAGAGCTGTGATTTTAGCATATGAGATTACATGTCATATTATTTTCTGTTTTTTTCTTCAGCTGTAAATATTGTTGTTTAAAATGTTGGATAGTTTGTGGAATTGTGGTAGTGACAAGTGTCTTCACGTGAAATTCTCCTCTCAGCTCCACACTTGAATCTGCTTTGTGAATTGCGGTTTCAGAAGCAGCTTCTTTGCATGTTACTCGCAGTTTGCTTTAGGTCCGTTCTTCAGTTTAGCTTATTTGTTGTTGCGTTGTTTTTTTTGCATAAAGTCTTGTAATGTGGTTTTGTAACAGATGATCTCAACTCTTTGGTCCAGTAGCATCGTTAAAACCACTGAAGCTTTATTTAGAGCCGCATTTGCATGTGAATTTTTTCAAGCAGGGAATGAGAGTGGGGAGGTGCTACATTGGCTTCATCTGGTAGTTGGAAAAACGAGTAGTCGGGACTGAAGGGTCCACAATTCTGCAACGTTGGAAGACCATACGCTTCCTGCTGTGCGCGGGATTATATATCTGTACGTTGTCAGTGTTGCTTATTTCTAAAACGCAGGCAAATGGTGTTTTGAACATTCGTTCAGCTTTGTACAAATGTAGAAGAAGCATTTATACGTCATCAGGGAAACCCTTCAGGGGGATCCAAAGTAGTCTTGCTGTGTATTGGAAGGAAACACATTGGTGCTACGTTTTTACCTTTTTGCGGTTACAAAAAAAACAGAGCAAAACAAATATTGCGAGGAGCCATGGTATCGCAAAGGAAGGAACATAAAAGAAACGGTGAGATCTGGAAAAAGGCGAAGCTATGGCATTAAAAACTTAAACATAAACCACACACAGTGATTTGCAATAAGGAATGACTGGGCAGCCTGACAAATCCGTTGGAAAGTGGGGGTTTTATAAATTGTTTCTGCAGATGGGATTTTTGGGAGGGGCGTTTATCACAGTTTGACCTTTTCTCACCCTACGCCACAAAAAACAGAAAAAAAAATAGGTGAGGGAATCACTCTTGCGTAAGCCGGTTTCTTTGAACTTTAGAATCGAAAAAATTTGACAGCGTTACATCACCCACTTGTGATCCGAAAAGTGCTGTGCCGCGAGGTACGCAAGCTTTTATTCAGTGGGGATTTCAGCACTGCTTTTAAATTCCAAAATTTCTTTAACCCGCAATATGAAGTTACATATTTCACCCAACTAACAAGAAAAGATAAGACTTCCTCTCTAAAATAATCCTCTTTTTTTCTTGTTGAAAACTTTCACGATAAACTCTGAATCTAGCCAGTACTACATCGGGACTAATATTAAGAATTATACGAGATTACAAATGCATAGCCTGGCTTCAACACAATTGTGCCGGTGCTGCAAATTAGAAACAGTCAAATTGCTTTGGCATGACAAGCAGGGAATTGAATTATTTACAAAACTTATTTAGCACTGTTGCTCTTCAACTGTAAGTCGTAGTCTTTAAGTTCCACTGGTTGAAGAGCTGCTTTACGATCTGTGCTAAAAACAATTCTTTCAAGATTCAGTGCCGGCAGCTCAGAAATCATCGCGCACATGATGCCAAAAAAATACGATAAGACCAGCTGAGCGAGGCAGTGTAGGAATATCGGCCACTTACTCGTATAGATGATGGGGAACGGAACAAGTAAATAAGTGAAAACGACAGGTATCATGTGAAACAGATAAACCTAAAATGAACACCGTTTAACATCAAATATGACCAAAATATTAACGTCTCTCAAAAACAAAACAGTTAAATCACTTGTTAACTCCTGCAACTACTAGAAAGTTTGATCTTCAGTTATAATCACAGGCACTAAGAAACAGTCTTTTCAAAGAAACGGACTACGGGTTTTGACTTGCACAGTCAGAAGCAGCTTATATGTCAATCAACGCTTCACCGTCGCTCAAGATTTAAGGTTATTTACACTTTTCTCGTCATCTATATTTTGCAAGGGTATTATGACAGCAGAAGCTATATGTTGGTTCAGATATAATCAAAAATTAAAAAGTTGATACCGAGTAGCACAATGAAGAGAGCGGAAGGAGCACTTTCATACTAAGAATGGTATTAATGATACCTCCCATACCATTGTGACATGCATAGATAAGCCAACTTATTGCCAGTGCAAATACTGTTCGATGAAGTCCGCCAAAGACAAGATGGTAAACTGGCCAGTCCCAGCCCTAAATTACGCACTTTTATACAGCGGAAGAACCACTTTTGTAGTTTTCTTGAACAAACTAGAATTCTTATGTACCACAACTGTTTATTCAACTGAACAAGCAGACTTTCTACAGTATAACAAGCGGATTAGGACCAGTTATGATTCAGCTACAATAAATTTTGATTTCTAACAGTTAACTGTACCTGTAGAGAAGGATAAAGACCAAACAATGACCAAAAACCACCAATAAATGCTAGACACCATCCAGTTATTTTAAATTGGAGTGTTGGTTGAATTTGCACAGGTGCCTTCTGCAGATTTGCAAGATAATAACCAAGAAGTAGCCCGACAATGTAAGGACCGATCCGATAGTGAGGTTTTATATACATAACAAGATGATGCTAAAAAATTTTGCGTTAAAAACATTGACGCAGCCAAGTGACATCGAAAAAAGTCTATGTCAGTTAAGAGAAGCTTTCGTAATGATACCTGAATGAAATCTGCGCTGAAGAGTTCAGGTTGCTTCCACAGCATTTGAGTTGGTGGGAAGTTGTATAGAGTCATACCGATGACATTGAGTATGCTGGATGCAGCAATAACTGCTACTGATAGAAGTATACCTGCGTTTGGTGAGCTTTTGAGAGCGAGAAGGAAGATTGGAGACAACAAATAAAATATGAATTCTGTCCCAATATACCTGAAAACTCACTGGATTGAGTAAAGAAAACAAGCAAAAGTCTACGGAAGAGAAAGTGAGGCAAACAACTGGTGACAATTTGAGCCTGTGCAACGAAGAAATATTACTGCTTGGAAACGTCACAGCGGGAAATGTTATCTCAGGTTTAAAATCATCATGAAAACCCAAAGAGAATTACTTCAGTTTGCCTGCCAGGAGAGACATGTTTTACGCTTCTATTTCCGGCCACACAACCTCTAGCCCCATTCTCAATCTCTTATTCCCCGTATTTACCCTACACATTCTGACCGCTCTAGACAGAGCCCATTAGAGCGAGTTGAAAACAGATGACATGATTTTTTCAATTATCAACCGGCCTTGGCTGGAACCCTCAGCACAATAAAACCCTTTTCTTTTTTTTTTCTTGTCAGTCAACATTGCAAAACTGTGAAATTCTTCCCGTTCTGAGTTACCTTTAGCAGTACTTTAAAAAGCGGCTTTACAGAAACAGTTTTGTCAAAAAAAGTGGATTTTCACAGAAACTTTGATCACCCGCGCTCTCTTCCCCTCATTAACCTCCTCTCAGTTTATTCAGCCGTCTCTTTCACTAAAGTCTTCCCTCTTGATTGCAATATTGCGTCGGAAAAGAAAGATTCTTTCCCACAGAAGACATCAGCCGTAAACCAGAAAGCTGCTTACCAAGTCCATGGCATACACCTGTTGTCTAGAATGCTGTTGATAAAAAGAATATTTTGCCACCAATATTTTGGGCATTGAACAGCAGGGTCTGTCGGTGGCCACATAGGATGGTAATGGTGTACGGAAATTCTAGTTGTGATGTCCGTTAAAGCACAAATATACGCTGGCCACAAGCGAATAATACGGTGGCGATAATAGCGCAGCCAGTAACACCAGGATGTCCACGTTGGCTCAGCGTCTGAATAGAAAAAAGGAATAGTGAGAGAAAAGAATAATTTTATGAATGATTAACTCCTACTGAGGTTCACATACCCAGATTAACAAACTGTTTCAACCCTCTACTGCTTATCCATTTAATTTTTTTTTAAGTTCAAAGATCTATTTTTATGAACGACTTAAAGCATAACACTTCTGAACACTAAAACTAATTTTAAAAAGTATTCATGCAAAATTTAAATTGTCAACCGCTGGAGCATTTATGTAGTTTCTTGAACCAAATGTAGGCAGTCAAAGTGGCACTTAACACGAAGAATGTATCAACACTCAGAGTGAAGTTAGTAATCCACTGGTTGAAAAATGAATTTACCATATCGTCCTTGTATTCATTAACATTCTGCATATATGCCTGTAATAATGACATAATGAATTCAATGAAACATCAAACAATTGACCACAGTTTTTTAAAATCTCTTCAAATTTTTAACAGATAAATAAATTTCTCAAAGAAGAAAAAAATTTCTGCTACTGGGCAGCAGAACTTAATTATTAAATATATGAAAACATGATAAAAAATTGATACCTGTACAAAAATAAATGAATGTCCAATAAGAGTCCAAGCCATTGAAAGAAACCGCATACCAAACATACAGGTAATAGTTGACTGTGGATCTTTCGGCATCGTTACTAATTTAGCAAAATTTTTTTTTGCCGAAAACGCCAAAAAAAGCTGAATTGCTGTGGACCTCAAAGAAGACAATATTTAAATTTTGTAAATAAATAAATAGAATATAACTTCTGAAACATTAGGTTTAGAAAACTTTAAAACTGCTTACTTAGTTTGCTCTCCCTTTCGAGTGTGATAAATTGTTGCAGCAACAATCAGCAATGTAAAGCAATTGCTGATTACAAAATTTAAGAGGGGGGTGAACATCTCATACCATTGCTTTTCGTGACGAGATTTAGTACATCCAATATAGTCCAGGTCATCAGTTGCATTCGAGGTTGTTTTCCGCCATCTATCCAACAACTAAACATGTTATCTTATTAAAAATCAAACAGTGCAGTTCGACATTTCTGAATAAAAGAAATAACTGGAAGTAAATAAAATAAAAAAGTCAAAAGTTACCTTAAATAGACTTTGAAAAGTAAAAAAAGATAATTTATAGTTAATAATTCATTGTAACATATATAGTTTCATCAATTGAGAAAGGTTTCAATAAAATACCTAGTTTCTTTTCTTTATTTATTCAAAAAATTCCCTCCTAATTTATTGTATAGTAGAGCCGATATTCAAGACAATATTTTGTCAGAATAAATAGTCCAATTATTTGGTCGTTAAATAAGAAGTACTAAAGGAATTGCAAAACCGCACCCAGAAATCTTGTTGGCTGCAAACTAAAAAAAAATCTTTTGAAAATTACCTGTCCTCGATCTTCGTAACAAACACTGGGAATACAAATTCCATAAGCGATGTTCGTTATATCCTTTTCTCGTTCCTCATTATACCCGAAACAGAAATGCAGTGGATACTCTGATTTTGAGTAAGTCGTTTCTCCAGCAGCTTGTAAACATTCAAAGGCATGAAACAACTAAAATACTGAATTAAGAGCAATTTACTTTTTGAACCACTATTGTGTTGCACAACAGCTGTAATTAAAGTCTGAGAAAGCTAGTTCAAGATATTTCAGTATTGTTCAATTATAGCAGTACAGGTTAAAAAACCCTAACCCATCTGTCTTGATCACGACTGCGAAATTGCTCCGATTCACCAGTGGTATATGAGCCGGCAAAAAATGTCTTCTGTTCCTTTATTGAATCATATCGGTCAAGATACTTTTGAATCTACAAAATTTTCAATACTTTTGGATTATTTTATAGAAAATTTTTACAGAACAACACTGCTGTTCATTCAGACTTGAAATTACAGGAAGAATTCAGCAGATAATTGAAAGTTATTTATTAAAACAAACTTTTAGTCATAGAGTAAACCAACGAAGAGATAACAATTGTCATACGCTTAAAACAAACACTTGAATTAAACAACCTAACTACCACAAGACGGATTTCAGCGACTAACCTTGTTTAGCCCAGTACGGCACCTTTTACTAACAGCATTACTCAGTGCAGACTTTTCAATAAAGTCAAAAACTGTAGACTCGTTGAAGAGATTCAGTTGAGTTGCTGCAAGATCCAAGGCGAGCAACAAAAAAAAACAAGCTCGCCACATCTCCACCTTAAATTTAGAATTTAAAACAAATGCTATCTTTGATTTTTTTGCTGTCAAATTCTTGTTATATTTAGCTTATCTGCATAAGGTGCAGTAAAAATAATTGATGTCGAAGTCAATAATTGTATCAGAAGGTATAAAAGTATTGTAAATGCAGTACACGCATCACCACGACGTTGATTATTTACTCCGGTATAGTATCATATCTACTAGACTAATACTAGAACTAAAGCTTCGGGTAAGATAAAAAAAAATATTTTTTGCTTATATTACTTTGTCTTTTAGTTTCAAATAAATCAAAAAATGAAAGACAGTAATAATAAAAATATGACGATAAACTAATTAAGGTTTTTTTTAACAATGTCATAAGATAAACTGTCACAGTATTTCACAAACAATGCAGAAAGAAATTTGTTAAGACGAATGTAAACCAGTTACAGAAATACTATAAGGTCG